AGTTGTCGAGGAGTCGACCAACGTTTTTGTCATAAGCTACGGAAGGGCCTGAAGCATCAAACGTTTATTACATCTCCAAGTAGAATTAATATGTTAACCAAGAAATCTGTTCGTAAAAGAATTTAGTGTGACACCAAAAAATGGTATAAATCAACAATTGTAATACAAAATGATTTAGGTTTATAAATCAATACAATTTACTGCGCAACAATTACAATGACGTACACAATAGAGTTGTAGTACAATATTCAATGGCTGTATAAAATGTGAGCGCAGTGGAAATGACAATGCCAAGAATAATAATCACCTCGACGCAAGCTTTCGAGATAGGCCACTGAACACCAGGGTGAAAAGTGATCTTCACACGGAAGCTGGTCTTGATGTAATGTCAGATGAAATGTGAGATGAGACAGGGACGCGCCCGCTCCACCTATATAGTCTAACAAGCTTCCAGTACTTTCTACACGGTGCTAGACCAGTCAGTGTCACTTGAACATCACAGAATATTCTAGAATATTACAATAACGCTTGACAACCATCCATGCTATTCCGGAAATTTACAGATAATTCGAGCATCTAAATATAATAACTTTCTCACAACTGCTTACATTAAATAATACTACATTCCTGACAACAAATCATTGTCTAAATACAATGCTATGACCTTTTACTGAATCTCAACAGAAACAATGTTATACAGTTACAATCATTGTTTAACAATAAATATGTTTAACTGCCATATAACACTGTATTTCACTCTGTGATCATATGACGACCTATTTGGTGAATATATATAATATTAACCTATTTTTGACAAGGGAATATTGGTCTTATCTATCTCACACACACCTATCTCATCTGGAATGTTTAGGATATCAAATTACATTGATCTGTCAATCGATGCCAGCGGTTGATCTAGTTATGCTGACGTCCGTGTCACAGAGACGTCACTAATAACACATCACCCACAGAGACACTGACACAGCCACAGATACACACAGACACACACACACGCACGCACGCACAAACATATACACACACACTGACAAAGCCACAGATACACACACACACACTCACACACACACGTCGCTATATAAGAACACATCGCCTATTTCTTCTGATCCAAAATGTTTACTCAATGTATTTTTAAGCCGTTACCATGTCACAGAAACAAGACGCCGGAGACTCATAGTGTTGCTTGGGGGAACATCTCGTGACAGTCAAACCATTAGCTATCCGTTGTGTGTTACATCATGTAAGAGCTGTACAGGACACCGATCTATCTAATTATGAAGTAAACGTATACAGGACACCTCCCTATCTGGTTAATAAGTAAAAGGTAACAGGACACCGCCCTATCTGGTTAATAAGTAAAAGGTTACAGGACACCGCCCTATCTGGTTAATAAGTAAAAGGTTACAGGACACCGCCCTATCTAGTTATTAAGTAAAAGGTTACAGGACACCGCTCTATCTAGTTATGAAGTAAAAGGTTATAGGACACCACCCTACCTAGTTATTAGATAAAAGGTTACAGGACACCGCCCTGTCTAGTTATTAGATAAAAGGTACAGCACACCGCCCTATTTAGTAATTATATAAAAGGTTACAGGACACCGCCCTGTCTAATTATTAGATAAAAGGTACAGGACACCGCCCTGTCTAGTTATTAGGTAAAAGGTTACAGGACACTGCCCTGTCTAATTATTAGATAAAAGGTACAGGACACCGCCCTATCTAGTTATTAGATAAAAGTTACAGGACACTACCCTATCTAGTTATTAGATCAAAGGTCACCGGACACCGCCCTATCTAGTTATGAAGTAAAAGGTTACAGGACACTGCCCTATCTAGTTATTAGATCAAAGGTACAGGACACCGCCCTATATAGTTATTAGGTAAAAGGTTACAGGACACCGTCCTATCTAGTTATTAGGTAAAAGGTTACAGGACACTGCCCTATCTAGTTATTAGATCAAAGGTACAGGACACCGCCCTATATAGTTATTAGGTAAAAGGTTACAGGACACCGTCCTATCTAGTTATTAGGTAAAAGGTTACAGGACACTGCCCTATCTAGTTATTAGATAAAAGGTTACAGGACACCGCCCTATCTAGTTATTAGGTAAAAGGTTACAGGACACTGCCTTATCTAGTTATTAGATCAAAGGTACAGGACACCGCCCTATCTAGTTATGAAGTAAAAGGTTACAGGACACTGCCCTATCTAGTTATTAGATCAAAGGTACAGGACACCGCCCTATCTAGTTATTAGGTAAAAGGTTACAGGACACTGCCCTATCTAGTTATAAGATCAAAGGTACAGGACACCGCCCTATCTAGTAATTAGGTAAAAGGTTACAGGACACCGCCCTATCTAGTTATTAGATCAAAGGTACAGGACACCGCCCTATCTAGTTATTAGGTAAAAGGTTACAGGACACTGCCCTATCTAGTTAATAAGTAAAAGGTTACAGGACACCGCCCTATCTAGTTATTAGATAAAAGGTACAGGACACCGCCCTGTCTAGTTATTAGGTAAAAGGTTACAGGACACCGCCCTGTCTAGTTATTAGATAAAAGATACAGGACACCGCCCTATCTAGTTATTAGGTAAAAGGTACAGGACACCGCCCTATCTAGTTATTAGATCAATGGTACAGGACACCGCCCTATCTAGTTATTAGATAAAAGGTCACAGGACACCGCCCTATCTAGTTAATAAGTAAAATGTTACAGGACACCGCCCTATCTAGTTATTAGATAAAAGGTTACAGGACATTGCCCTATCTAGTTAATAAGTAAAAGCTTACAGGACACCGCCTATCTAGTTATTAGATAAAAGGTTACAGGACACCGCCCTGTCTAGTTATTAGATAAAAGGTTACAGGACACTACCCTATCTAGTTATTAGATAAAAGGTTACAGGACACGTTACGTTATATTCAGTTATATTAGAGCTATACAGGAGACCGTTATATTCAGTTATATTAGAGCTATACAGGAGACTGTTATATTCAGTTATATTAGAGCTATACAGGAGACTGTTAAATTCAGTTATATAAGGGCTATACAGGAGACCGTTTTATTTAGTTATATTAGAGCTATACAGGAGACCGTTATATTCAGTTATATTAGAGCTATACAGGAGACTGATATATTCAGTTATATTAGAGCTATACAGGAGACCGTTATATTCAGTTATATTAGAGCTGTACAGGAGACTGTTATATTCAGTTATATTAGAGTTATACAGGAGACTGTTATATTCAGTTATATTAGAGCTATACAGGAGACTGTTAAATTCAGTTATATTAGAGCTATACATGAGACCGTTATATTCAGTTATATTAGAGCTATACAGGAGACCGTTATATTCAGTTATATTAGAGCTATACAAGAGACAGTTATATTCAGTTATATTAGAGCTATACAGGAGACTGTTACATTCAGTTATATTAGAGCTATACAGGAGACCGTTATATTCAGTTATATTAGAGCTATACAGGAGACCGTTATATTCAGTTATATTAAAGCTATACAGGAGACTGTTATATTCAGTTATATTAGAGCTATACAGGAGACCGTTATATTCAGTTATATTAGAGCTATACAGGAGACCGTTATATTCAGTAATATTAGAGCTATACAGGAGACTGTTATATTCAGTTATATTAGAGCTATACAGGAGACCGTTATATTCAGTAATATTAGAGCTATACAGGAGACTGTTATATTCAGTTATATCAGAGCTATACAGGAGACCGTTATATTCAGTAATATTAGAGCTATACAGGAGACCGTTATATTCAGTTATATCAGAGCTATACAGGAGACCTATTAGAGCTGTACAGAAGCCGGTCATATCGAGATGTATCTCACGAACCCAGATCAATTGATTGTTCGTAGCGCACTAGCCGTACCTGCATGCGACGGTTGAGTTTTCAACTAAATACATTAACGTAACACTAGACTGAAGGTAAGCTGCTGCAGTGATCACCGAGCAGCTTCACGCCATCATCACCATATTGTCACACGTACCACGCTTCTCTGACACCTGGACCAAATATACTACCAGAATATCCCACTCCACCCCACCCTCAACAAAATACCACCGTGTATTCGTCACGCTCCCTACCCCTGTGACATGGGCAGCACGCGAAAGTGAAGCATGACCCCCCCCCCCCTCCCCCCACCCCCACCCCCACCCCCCTCTCAGCTCCGGTTTCATTGCTGTTGGGAACGACTCGATCAACTCGACCCGCAAAAGCCCCATCTCTTCTCGGTAATCGTATCCGTCAAGTCGTGTAATCACGGCGTGCATATAAGCCACAAACAAACAAACTACTACACATTTCCTTCACGCCAAACCCCCAAAACTGGATTCATGTCTTCCGTTACCATCATTCCCGCATCTCCGTATGTCAGTATATAGCGAGTGTACTTAAACGTCACATCACAAAGCACTGCAGCAACCATGTATACGCGGATCCGAAGGTACCACCGTCGGCGATGTATATGCTACCCGACTGTCGTTACCGTCAACACACAGTCCTGACCACCTGCATCCACTACCCTATAGACAGGGGTATGTGGGGGAAGGAGGGGTGGGGGGAGAAGGGGTGGGGGAGGAGGGGTGTGCGGTGTCGGTTATTCTCTCAACGTAAACACGATTAAAATAAGGGTTTGCACCTAAACATCGAGTTGAGAGAGGAATCTGACCCGGTTATACATTTAACAACGTACGTATACTCACTCTCTCTCTCTCTCTAGAGATGAGACATATACACACGCAGAGGTTTATTCAATACAATAATCTTGTGACAGTAAGATGTGCGCCAACTGTTACTCTGCACCATTTCCCCTCGTGGCGAAGCTGTTAAAGCACGTGTTTATTCATGGACACGTTTGGCAGAAAGTACGCTCTAATTACACCTCCCCCTGAATGTCAATATACAACAAATACAACTCACACCCATCTAAAACAAGATATATACTTACACGCTAGTGTCCCACTCCCAATATCCTACAGCGTCCCATCACTGAGTGAACTCACTGTTGCCCATAACGTCCAAGTATTGACATTCCGAAGTTAGCGAGTCGGTCTCTTCCAGCTGACTGTTCGACGTCCTCGCGTGGCGGCGACCAGCCCACCACAGCGCTCACTCCGTACACAGTCGGTCGGCGGAGGTCCGCGGCGCGTGTGGTGTGTGAGCAGGGAAGGAATCGAATTTCAATCGGAATAACCTATACTCCACACAATAGATCGATGTTTTGACATCAGTCTGAAGGAATCGCGCGTTTTTGCCTTAATACTTCCTGGTTGAATCCGATTGATGCTCAGCAGTAGATTTGTATCTTGTAACCGAGACGTGAGTCTAAAGCTCAACAATTCGTGCGTGTCTTTAATATATATATAGCTAACGAGAATATATATATACATATTCTCCCTGGTGAATGATGTAATGTTTCCCGCTGCATATTTCGTGTTTTCCCTATAAAGTAGTCACACGAACAGGTAAACAGGTTGTTGTGTTGTTTGAAGGTAGATGTTGTTGCGTACGTACAAAGTGCAATTTATCCTGAGGAAGAGGTGGGTTCAAGAAAGTATTAAACACTTAAACACACTCACTCGGAAATATACAAGCCTACGGCCTCATCTCCCCCCGACCCCCTCGACCCCCCCCCCCCCCCCCCCCCCCCCTCGATGGACCCCCCCACCCCCACCCAACCCCCACCCCACACACATCTCGGATAGCCCCTGTATACACCTTTCTGAAGCACAATGCCTGATTATTTCTCACATAGTGTACCGCGGTCATTCCCATTGTGGCTGCTAATGACGACGACGGGCACACAAAGGCGTTGCGGGAGCGACATACAGTTACGGTAACGTGAACAATGCGTCATGTTCTATCATCACGGTTGGAGTCGTCAAGGTTCTGTGTTCTAGTCTTAAGTGTGTTGTGTTGTTATGGGTTGATAAGCAAAGTGCTTCCTCAAAAGTATCCGACTCTAAACAGAAGCATAGCGATAAATAATTCACTTAGTGCAGGGAGATAATCGATGGGTATATAAGGGCGCGTAGGATCACCAACTCGGGGAAGAAAATAGCAATCATATCAATACAAAAACAGAAATTATGTGAATATCAAACTCACAATAGATATGTGTACCCTACTCACTCACAGGAGTCCCAAAGAGGGACAGGTCAGCCGAAATTGCTTAGGCAGAAGGCGATCTCTTAAACACTTAATGTAACAACAACAACAACAACAACAACAACAACAACAACAACTCGGGACGGGGAACCGAGAAACAACTCGAAAACGCTTGTGAACGAAATTATAAACTGATATCTCGTGAACGTGCATGTTGTGAACTGATAACTTGTGAACGTGTATATTTTGAACTGATATCCCGTGAACGTATATTGACAACTAGTATCTCCTGTGGGTACATATTGACAATTTATATCTTCTGTGAGTATATATTGTAAACTGATAGTTTGTGTAGGTATATAATCTGAACTTATATTTTGTGTAGGAATATATTGAGAACGGATATGTACGTATACATTGGGAAGTGATATTTTGTATTGGTATATATTTCGAACTGATATCTCGTAAACGTATATACTGACAACTTATATTTTGTGTTGGTATATATTGTGAACTGATATTCTGTGTACGTATATATTGGGAAGTGATATTTTGTGTAGGTATATATTGTAAAGTGATATCTCGTGAAATTTCCTTAATCGTAAACTGTTATATTTATAACGTATATATTTGAAGCTATATCTATTATGAAGGCATCTCGTGAACGTATGTATTTCATTTGGTGTCTTCTGAAAACTGAAACCTCGTGGACCTAAAGACTGTGAGTGAGTGAGTATGGTTTTACGCCGCTTTTAGCAATATTCCAGCAATATCACGGCTGGGGACACCAGAAATGGGCTTCACACATTGTGCCCATGTCGGGAATCGAACCCGGGGTCTTCGGCGTTGCGAGCGAACGCTTTAACAACAAGGCTACCCAACTGCCCTCCTATAGATATAGACTGTGACTGACACATCGTGTGCACGAATATGTTGGAAAATGATATCATCGTGAATTCGTAAACGAATATTGTAAACATCTAACATAAAAAGTAATACTAAAAATAATATTTATTCCATGGTCGACAAACTAACCATGGGGCAGGGCATTGTAGTTTACACATGTACGCAGCGGTCGGCAGGCCGCGGGGAATTATGGGATAAGAAACCCCACTGTAAACAGTTTCATGGAAACATAATAACAATAACGTTAGATTAATATGTCATGTCTTTCTCTTTAACCTTTTCGCATATGAGATAAAGAGACTAGCTGTCGCTGTAAACCCCAGACTAGCGGTTTACGTAAAGAATTCTCCTCTGTGACGTGGATGTAGTCGTGGCACGTTTTGTCTTGAAGTCCACTCCTACGACGACCAGGCATGATGTAATATTTAGTCTTCACAAACATCCAGAGAGGTGTCGTGGGTAGTCTGGGGGGTCATTGAGACAAAGGTGGGGTAGTCTGGTGTGTCATTGAGACAGAGGGAGGAGGGTCAGTCTAGTGGTCATTGAGACAGAGGGAGGTGGGGAAGTCTTGTGTGTCATTGTGACAGAGGGAGGTGGGGAAGTCTTGTGTGTCATTGAGACAGAGGGAGGTGGGGAAGTCTTGTGTGTCATTGAGACAGAGGGAGGTGGGGAAGTCTTGTGTGTCATTGAGACAGAGGGAGGTGGGTCAGTCTAGTGGTCATTGAGACAGAGGGAGGTGGGGAAGTCTTGTGTGTCATTGAGACAGAGGGAGGTGGGGAAGTCTTGTGTGTCATTGAGACAGAGGGAGGTGGGGAAGTCTTGTGTGTCATTGAGACAGAGGGAGGTGGGTCAGTCTAGTGGTCATTGAGACAGAGGGAGGTGGGGAAGTCTTGTGTGTCATTGAGACAGAGGGAGGTGGGGAAGTCTTGTGTGTCATTGAAACAGAGGGAGGTGGGGAAGTCTTGTGTGTCATTGAGACAGAGGGAGGTGAGGAAGTCTTGTGTGTCATTGAGACAGAGGGAGGTGGGGAAGTCTAGTGTGTCATTGAGACAGAGGGAGGTGGGTCAGTCTAGTGGTCATTGAGACAGAGGAAGATGGGTCAGTCTAGTGGTCATTGAGACAGAGGGAGGTGGGGAAGTCTTGTGTGTCATTGAGACAGAGGGAGGTGGGTCAGTCTAGTGGACATTGAGACAGAGGGACGGGGGGGAAGTCTTGTGTGTCATTGAGATAGAGGGAGGTGGGGAAGTCTGGTGTGTCATTGAGACAGAGGGAGGTGGGACAGTCTGGTGTGTCAATGAGACAGAGGGAGGTGGGGAAGTCTAGTGCTCATTGAGACAGAGGGAGGTGGGTCAGTCTAGTGGTCATAGAGACAGAGGGAGGTGGGGAAGTCTAGTGGGTCATTGAGACAGAGGGAGGTGGGGAAATCTGGTGTGTCATCGAGACAGAGGGAGGTGGGGAAGTCTGGTGTGTCATTGAGACAGAGGGAGGTGGGGAAGTCTTGTGGGTCATTGAGACAGAGGAGGTCGGAGAGACTCGTGGGTTATTCACAGAGTGGGGTGGGGTAGTCTAGTGGTCATTGAGACAGAGGGAGGTGGGGAAGTCTTGTGTGTCATTGAGACAGAGGGAGGTGGGGGGAAGTCTGGTGTGTCATTGAGACAGAGGGAGGTGGGGAAGTCTGGTGTGTCATTGAGACAGAGGGAGGTGGGGAAGTCTGGTGTGTCATTGAGACAGAGGGAGGTGGGGAAGTCTGGTGTGTCATTGAGACAGAGGGAGGTGGGGAAGTCTTGTGGGTCATTGAGACAGTGGGAGGTGGGGGGAAGTCTTGTGGGTCATTGAGACAGAGGGAGGTGGGTGGAAGTCTGGTGTGTCATTGAGACAGAGGGAGGTGGGGAAGTCTGGTGTGTCATTGAGACAGAGGGAGGTGGGGAAGTCTTGTGTGTCATTGAGACAGAGGGAGGTGGGGAAGTCTTGTGTGTCATTGAGACAGAGGGAGGTGGGGAAGTCTGGTGTGTCATTGAGACAGAGGGAGGTGGGGAAGTCTTGTGGGTCATTGAGACAGTGGGAGGTGGGGGGAAGTCTTGTGTGTCATTGAGACAGAGGGAGGTGGGGGGAAGTCTGGTGTGTCATTGAGACAGAGGGAGGTGGGGAAGTCTGGTGTGTCATTGAGACAGAGGGAGGTGGGGAAGTCTTGTGTGTCATTGAGACAGAGGGAGGTGGGGAAGTCTTGTGTGTCATTGAGACAGAGGGAGGTGGGGAAGTCTTGTGTGTCATTGAGACAGAGGGAGGTGGGGAAGTCTTGTGTGTCATTGAGACAGAGGGAGGTGGGGAAGTCTTGTGTGTCATTGAGAGAGAGGGAGGTGGGGAAGTCTAGTGTGTCATTGAGACAGTGGGAGGTGGGGAAGTCTAGTGGGTCATTGAGACAGAGGGAGGTGGGGAAGTCTAGTGTGTCATTGAGACAGAGGGAGGTGGGGAAGTCTAGTGTGTCATTGAGACAGAGGGAGGTGGGGAAGTCTAGTGTGGCATTGAGACAGAGAAAGGTGGGTAAGTCTAGTGTGTCATTGAGACAGAGGGAGGTGGGTCAGTCTAGTGTGTCATTGAGACAGAGGGAGGTGGGTCAGTCTAGTGGTCATTGAGACAGAGGGAGGTGGGTCAGTCTAGTGTGTCATTGAGACAGAGGGAGGTGGGGAAGTCTTGTGGGTCATTGAGACAGAGGTAGGTGGGGCAGTCTAGTGGTCATTGAGACAGAGGGAGGTGGGGCAGTCTAGTGGTCATTGAGACAGAGGGAGGTGGGGAAGTCTTGTGTGTCATTGAGACAGAGGGAGGTGGGGAAGTCTTGTGTGTCATTGAGACAGAGGGAGGTGGGACAGTCTAGTGGTCATTGAGACAGAGGGAGGTGGGGCAGTCTAGTGGTCATTGAGACAGAGGGAGGTGGGGCAGTCTAGTGGTCATTGAGACAGAGGGAGGTGTGGAAGTCTTGTGTGTCATTGAGACAGAGGGGGGTGGGGAAGTCTTGTGTGTCATTGAGACAGAGGGAGGTGGGACAGTCTAGTGGTCATTGAGACAGAGGGAGGTGGGGCAGTCTAGTGGTCATTGAGACAGAGGGAGGTGGGGAAGTCGTGTGTGTCATTGAGACAGAGGGAGGTGGGACAGTCTAGTGTGTCATTGAAAAAGAGGGAGGTGGGACAGTCTAGTGTGTCATTGAGACAGAGGGAGGTGGGACAGTCTAGTAGTCATTGAGACAGAGGGAGGTGGGTCAGTCTAGTGGGTCATTGAGACAGAGGGAGATGGGGAAGTCTAGTGTGTCATTGAGACAGAGGGAGGTGGGTCAGTCTAGTGGTCATTGAGACAGAGGGAGGTGGGTCAGTTTAGTGGTGATTGAGACAGAGGGAGGTGGGGCAGTCTAGTGGTCGTTGAGACAGAGGGAGGTGGGGAAGTCTAGTGTGTCATTGAGACAGAGGGAGGTGGGTCAGTCTAGTGGTCATTGAGACAGAGGGAGGTGGGGAAGTCTAGTGGGTCATTGAGACAGAGGGAGGTGGGGAATTCTAGTGGTCATTGAGACAGAGGGAGGTGTGGAAGTCTGGTGTGTCAATGAGACAGAGGGAGGTGGGGAAGTCTTGTGTGTCATTGAGACAGAGGGAGGTGGGTCAGTCTAGTGGTCATTGAGACAGAGGGAGGTGGGGAAGTCGTGTGTGTCATTGAGACAGAGGGAGGTGGGGAAGTCTAGTGGTCATTGAGACAGAGGGAGGTGGGTCAGTCTAGTGGTCATTGAGACAGAGGGAGGTGGGGGGAAGTCTAGTGGGTCATTGAGACAGAGGGAGGTGGGACAGTCTAGTAGTCATTGAGACAGAGGGAGGTGGGGCAGTCTAGTGGTCATTGAGACAGAGGGAGGTGGGGCAGTCTAGTGGTCATTGAGACAGAGGGAGGTGGGGAAGTCTTGTGGGTCATTGAGACAGAGGGAGGTGGGTCAGTCTAGTGGTCATTGAGACAGAGGAGGTGGGAGAGACTCGAGGGTTATTCACAGAGTGGGGTGGGACAGTCTAGTGTGTCATTGAGACAGAGGGAGGTGGGGAAGTCTTGTGTGTCATTGAGACAGAGGGAGGTGGGGAAGTCTTGTGTGTCATTGAGACAGTGGGAGGTGGGGAAGTCTTGTGTGTCATTGAGACAGTGGGAGGTGGGGAAGTCTAGTGGGTCATTATATAGGTCCGTGGTCATTCACAGAGTGGGAGGGGGGGATTAAACGATAGTGCCTAAAGCTAAATCCATGAATGTAAGCTGGGTTGAAAGAGTGCCCAATCGCAGACCGTCGTGTAGCAGTCTACATGGATGCCTCCACACATAGCCGATGGAATGTGATCGTTACAAAGGACGTGTTCCGATCAGAAGATAAACCCGTCTCTCCTCCCCGCTAACACGCGATATCCGCCCCGCGGGTAATGCTGAACAAACGTACATTCATAACAATTATAACGAAGCCACTTTCCACAACATCATCTCCAAAAGACGCTCGATATGTTTCTCTCCATGTTGCCAGCATATAGGGCAACAACTCCAGAGTGAGTGAGTTTGGACTTCACGCCGGGTTTAGCAATATTCCAGCAATATCACGGCCAGGAAACCAGAAATGGGCTTCACACATTGTACCCAGGTGGGGAATCAAACCTAGCCAACACTGTGACAGTAGTATTGCGACACTAGAAACCCGACTGTTAGGCTTGATAAGTTCATTAATCAATGTAAAAGAAATGAATAAAGTATTGTTGACAATCTCAAAGGCGCCCTTAAACCAAAGGAAAGTGGGCGTAATCCTTGGTAACCATGTATTATATGTAAATTGGCAAATTATGTATTATTAATAACTAATTGCAACTATCGATTGTTCCGAAAATATCATACAATCGACGAAACTGTTGCCATTTTTAAACTCCTATCGATATAATTTTGTAGTAAATCGTACGGCAAACAATTGCGAAAGTTCGATTTAGCATCACCTCTTTACTATCGTTTAACATTCATATCGGTTTTACAACAGCTTATATACATACGGCAACCAAACACACACCGTGAATAGCAACAAAAATGCCTAACATCTCCGTGTTGCTCTGTAGCATTTCCTAGGCTATTAATTTCGCCATCCGTCGTCGTCGTCGTTGTTGTGATGATGATGTAGCATTTCCTAGGCTATTAATTTCGCCATCCTCCGTCGTCGTTGTTGTTGTGATGATGATGTAGCATTTCCTAGGCTATTAATTTCGCCATCCGTCGTCGTCGTCGTTGTTGTGATGGTGATGATGATGATGATGATGATGATGATGATGATGATGATGATGATGACATTTTCAACAAAATATAGTCAAACATTCAAGGAACCTCAGCCGACTCTGTGTGTGCAGAAGACGTGCCTGACGTATTACCACAAAGGCGTTAAGACTTTCAGTAAAACGTAACATTTCACGTCGGTTCAATTACGCTTGACCTGCATCTGAGAAGCTCATGGGCTTACCAGTTACAGCAGATCAATATATACACAATCTACATGTCTATTTCATATAATATACCTCTGTCGCAACACAAACTGTATTACCAGGCAAGTAGATCAAAGCCAAGTCTATTATGTAACGCTATCACTTGAACGTATCCCACTTGGACTGGCGTGTATTGCGCTGCCCCGCCATCAATCAGGTGTGTGGTAGGACTTTGAAATAAGTGTAATTTGGGAGTGATGTAACCCACGCGGAAAGACAACCGGCTACAGATGGGACTGCTGCTATCACTCAGGGGCTATTACTCCCTCTCGAACACTGAGTATGAGATGGTGTGGTTGGCGCGTTCTTTTGTGTCGTGGAATTGTCGGAAAAAATAGCCGTCATTTCGGCTATGAGAAGTTCTAATGCGTAGGAGAAGACCTTCAGTGGACTCATTAGCGTTGGATTGTGTCTTTGTGTGAGATGCACGTTTAAAATCGACGCTTACTTACACCCTTTTTGATGTTAATAAGCGAAGAGATGCTTCAACTGTAGACCAATAGCGCAATATTCTTTTTTGGCAAAGGTGAACGTCAGTCGAGCAGGCGGTTGACCTCTTTGTCGGATCATACGGGTGAGTGGGGGGTGAGAGGGTGAGTTGTGAGTGAGTGCGTTGGAAAGTGAGTGAGTGGGTTGGTAGCTGTGGGGTTTGTGTAAGTGAGTGAGTGGGTTGGTTGGTGGGTGAGTGGGAGAGTGAGTGAGTGGGTGGGTGGATGAGTTGGTGAGTGGGTGAGTGAGTGAGTGGGTGGATGGGTGTTGGGTGTGTGTGTGGGTGAGGGGGTTGGTAGGGGTGTGTTTGGGAAGGTGGGTAAGTGGGTGGGTGGATGAGTTGGCGAGTGGGTGAGTGAGTAAGTGGGTGGGTGGGTGGGTTGGTTGGTGGGTGGGTGAGTGAGTGAGTGAGTGAGTGAGTGAGTGAGTGAGTGAGTGAGTGAGTGAGTGGGTGGATGGATGAGTTGGTGAGCGGGTGAGTGGAGTGGGTCGATGGGTGTTTGGTGTGTGCGTGGGTGAGTGGGTTGGTAGGGGTGTATGTGGGTAGGTGGGTGGGTAAGTGGGTGGGTGGATCAATGGGTGAGTGGGTGAGTGAGTGAGTGGGTTCGTAGGGGTGTGTGTGGGTAGGTGGGTGGGTAAGTGGGTGGGTGGATTAGTGGGTGAGTGAGTGAGTATATAGGTGAGTGGGTGGGTGGGTGGGTGGGTGGGTGAGTGGTGTTGCACAATAGTTTCTGATTTTGAGTATTCTTATATCAATAACATGTATGAATGTTTAGTCTGAATATGTTTAAACTGTATGTGTGTTTAGTCTGTATTAATGTTAGTCTATCCATTAGGTCAGTAAATATTAGTCAGTATCTGTATTTAGTCTATATGAGTAACACCATCACACTTGAAAACCTCTGGAGCGAGGGGGCAGTGCTGTGATTTAATGGTTCTTTCGTCAATCCCACATGGATACAATGTCCATTCTTGGGGTGTCTAACGGGATCGGGTGGTCAGGCTCGCTGACCTGGTTGATGCATGCCATCGTATCCCAGTTGCTTAGATCGATGTTAATGACATCAACCACTGAATTGTCTGGTCCAAACTCGATTATTTACAATGTAGGTGGAATATTGTGCGGCGTTAAACAACAAACAAACAAACAACTTTTTCCTTCGCGATATTTCTGGATTATTGATAGCATCGTAATTCCCACTCACTCACCTTGTCTAGCCTAAAGGTGCTCACAAGGGAGACATTTGCAAGCTGTTGTCTCAAGCTGTCAGCGAAACAAATGTGAAACTCCCAAGTTTGCCCCTAAGGCATATGTGCAGTTCAACTATTGAATAATGACATGCACATACCACACATAGAGCCTGTCCCCTGCGGCGTAATGAAACGTTCAGGGAGGCATTCGATTTACATATATATTGATGGAACATGGGCATACTGATATGCGGAACATGATAGGCGTGGTTTCAACACAGTGAATGCCTAATAACCTCTATTACAGCAATAGGGCACTAATCGTGAAAATGTACGATATAATTAGGATATGTATGTGCTTACTCAGAGACCTGTGAAGATCCGGGTTAGAATAGGCCTTCAGGAAATCATGCTTGTCGTAAGAGGCGACTAACGGGATCGGGTGGTCAGGCTCGCTGCCTTGGTTAATGCATGTCATCGCATCCCAATTGCGTGGATCGATGTTCATTATCAATCACTGGACTGGATCACTGGATTGTCTGGTCCAGACTCGGTTATTTACAGACCGCCGTCATACAGCTGGAATATTGCTGAATGCGGCGTTAAACAACAAAGAAACAAACCAACAAAGCTTACTCAGAAACAGTAAGCTTAACCTATGTACTTGATGATCAAAATGTGCTGTTTAAGTTGTCATACTATTGATATTGATGTGCTCAGTCAGAGAGAATAAGTCGAATCCATGTGTTCAATGATTAAGATGCGCTGTTTAAGTTGTCGTACTATAGATATTGATGTCCTTACTCAGAGAGAATAAGTCGAATCCATGTGTTTAATGATTAAGATGTGCTGTTTAAGTTGTCATACTATTGATATTGATGTGCTCACTCAGAGAGAAAAAGTCGAATCCATGTGTTTAATGATGAAAATGAGCTGTTTAAGTTGTCGTACTATTGATATTGATGTGCTCACTCAGAGAGAAAAAGTCGAATCCATGTGTTTAATGATTAAAATGGGCTGTTTAAGTTGTCATCAGTGTACCTCAATAAATTGCTCGTATTATCTCCATACAACTTGGTTCTTAACCCAAGAGTGAACCCATTCAATTAAGATGGTGAGGTGAAATGGGGTTAAACTCATATAGCGACGTGCATATATGTGTGTGTGTGTGTGTGTTTGTGTGGCTGCTTGTACTAGGCCGGACTGATGCCGATTTATAGTGCTAGCTCACTGAGATACCATGCCGCAGTTTAACATAAATTCCCCACTCAGACACAGTATACTGACTCCGAGCCGACCGGTCCTTGTTTTAGCACCTTAATGCCGAGCGCCAGACAGGGTAACAACAAGTACCATCTTTTAACGTCTTAGCTGGGCCTTTCGCTCTCCGGACGGACGCTCTACCACTCGACCACGGGGGCGACCCATTCAGTTCAGAAGGTTTCAGGCAAGGGACGAGCTGTGCACTCAACTTTGGATTTTGTTGTTATAAGCTGTATGGGTTATGGGATGTTGGGATATCACCGTGTAGTTACGGTCAGTCTAGTCACGGTCAAGCGTCAGCACCGCTATCCTCTCCCTTAATTGTCCGGCTTCCGTCCCCATTCGGCAAAGTCCGGCGGTCGTCGTTGTTCAGTGTCATTACTTTCAACTTCTTTGATAGGCATCTAGAAGTTGGAGTACTAAGTAAGGATAAGAATTTATGGATGAACAACTTCTTTATTAGAATTAATAATTTATTGATGAACAACTTCTTTATTACAATTAAGAGCGACGTTTCGGTGTAGATTCTAACACTGTTATCAAGCAAGTGATATACAGTAAACTACGGTTATAACGAACTCAAAGGGACTACTTTTTTTAGTTCGTTATAACCGTAGTTCGTTATAAGCATATATACAGCATAACTACAGCAAATAGTCGGGACTAAAAAGTTAGTTCGTTATATCCGTCAGTTCGTTATAAGCGTGTTCGTTATAACCGTAGTTTACTGTATACTTGTCAGCCACACTCTGTACATCACTTGCTTGATAACGGTGTTAGAACCTACACCGAAACGTCGCTCTTAATTGCAATAAAGAAGTTGTTCATCCATACATTCTTATCCTTACTTTTCGCTCGTCACGCCGAAGACCCGGGTTCGATTCCCGACATGGGTACAATGAGTGAAGCCCGTTTCTGGTGTCCCCCGCCGTGATATTGCTGGAATATTGCTAAAAGCGGCGTAAAACCATACTCACTCACTCACTCACTCATTATCCTTACTTAGTCTTTACGTTCATTGCTTGAGAATTAGTGACCCGTAAATTTTATTCTCTAGCTGTATTTTAGGAAGTCTAGTATTTCTTTGTTTAAGCTATTGAGATTTAAGTCTATCAGACTGGATTGCTATTCAGGGTTTTTCGCCTATTTTATTGTCCAAGAGACTTATTTTAGGGATAAGCCCTCTGTTTTTATTTCTCCCTATGTAACATTGCCGAGGTTACTATAAGAGTGCTGAGTTAATTAACTCTCAGGTGCTAATTGGTCGAAGCCGACTTAATCGGCTGTCAGTGCATCTTGTCAATATCTTGGTTCAGCTACTCTCCTTTTATTACCGTTATACGATTGCTCAGCTAATCAGCTTGTACATTTGCTCTGATTTAATTAATCAGTGATCATTGTCAGTGTAATTTTTTTTATATCTTATTATGTCGGCTAATTATACATATAGCTGATGGTAATAAACCTGTGGACCTATAACCATGTGTTCATGACTACTTTATTCTTGCTTAATGATACCTGGTCTCTGGAGAAAAGCTCCATCCATTACAAGGGTTTTTTAGGCGCAACTCTTCCAGCCAGGAATTATGATTTAAAAAAAAATCAGGGGTGACGGGCGGATTTTTTACCACAACCGTAACTACTCATTCTATTCCGCGAATCTGGATTCATACTCCGACCGTTTTAAAGCATTTCTTAGAGAATCATGCCATGTTCATATCGAAAATAAGGCAGACGCTTTTTGACATGTACTTTCAAACATGGAGATCTACTGTAGATGTTTCTAGCAAATGCGAATATTATAGATATTTTAAAATGCAAATATGCGCAGAAAAATATTTAACTGATGTAAATATAAGAAAATGCAGAATATCATTAACACAATTTAGATGCACCTCACATAGGTTAATGGTTGAAGTTGGCAGGCACAACAAAATACCCAAATGTTTAAGATTATGTAAACAATGGTCTTTAAATGTTGTCGAAGATGAATTTCATTTTCTACTTGTATGTTGTAAATATGACAATTTAAGGAAAAAATATATTGAACAGAAATACTATGTACATCCAAATAAATACAAGTTTATCTCTTTAATTTCACAAGTGAGGAAAACGGCTATACAAAATCTCTCTCTCTTTATATATCATGCCATGTTATTAAGAAATGAATCCTTGTAACATTCCTAACCGCTTCCACATTGTCATGTATTCTGTATGGGCCTGTGGCCTTACAGTTATATATGAATAAACTGATTGATTGATAAAACATACAATTTATTCATTAGGATCATCTATAGATTATCAGTTATAGTAACTGCACATGTATCACGACTCTATACGTTATTCCTTTTATGATATTCTTGCAGCAAATAAATTGCAGGAAAATTGGCACCTTTTGCACCTGTATGTTAGCTTGTGATGATGATTCACTCTGATTCACTCTTCTCGTTTAGAAAGCTGTATATGCGCTTGACTGGGCGGACCGTTAGTTGCCCGAGGGTAGCTGTTGTTGTGATGGAAAGATGCATTAAATTGTTTTTTTTAGTTTTTTTAGACTCCCGTGTTATGTCATTAACGTCTTATTCCCTATTCCAAACCTCGTTTGACAGCTTCAACGACCTTCTCCAGCTAATGCAGGCCTCCGACACGGACACTGAAATGAAGCTCACTCTGTTTATATAATACCACGGGGAAACTGCAGCTTTACTTTTCTAGTACATCCGTGAAGATCCGGGTTAGGATAGGTCTTCAGCACCCATGCTTGCTGTAAAAGGCGACATTGCGACAGTCAAAAGGGGCGACTAACAGGATCGGGTGGGCATGATCGCCGACTTGGTTGAAGCATGTCATCGTATCCCAATTACGATGCTCATGATGTCAATCACTGGATTGTCTGGTCCAGACTCAATTATGTACAGACCGCCGTGGCCCAGCGGCCCTGTGCTGTCGGATGTTGTGGTGGCCGTGTGTTGTCGGATGTTGTGGTGGCCGTGTGCTGTCGGATGTTTTGGTGGCCCTGTGCTGTCGGATGTTGTGGTAGCCCTGTGCTGTCGGATGTTGTGGTGGCCGTGTGGTGTCGGATGTTGTGGTGGCCGTGTGCTGTCGGATGTTGTGGTGGCCGTGTGCTGTCGGATGTTGTGGTGGCCGTGTGGTGTCGGATGTTGTGGTGGCCGTGTGGTGTCGGATGTTGTGGTGGCCGTGTGGTGTAGGATGTTGTGGTGGCCGTGTGCTGTCGGATGTTGTGGTGGCCGTGTGCTGTCGGATGTTGTGGTGGCCCTGTGCTGTCGGATGTTGTGGTGGCCCTGTGCTGTAGGATGTTGTGGTGGCCGTGTGGTGTCGGATGTTGTGGTGGCCATGTGCTGTCGGATGTTGTGGTGGCCCTGTGCTGTAGGATGTTGTGGTGGCCATGTGGTGGAGGATGTTGTGGTGACACTGTGCTGTAGGAAGTTGTGGTAGCCATGTGGTGGAGGATGTTGTGGTGACACTGTGCTGTAGGATGTTGTGGTGGCCTTTTGGTGTCGTATGTTGTGATCTCCCTGTGCTGTAGGATGTTGTGGTGGCCCTGTGGTGGAGGATGTTGTGGTCACCATGTGCTGTAGGATGTTGTGGTGGCCCTGTGGTGTAGGATGTTGTGGTGGCCCTGTGCTGTAGGGTATTGTGGTGGTCATGTTGTGTAGGATGTTGTGGTGGCCCTGTGCTGTAGGATGTTGTGGTGGCACTGTGTTGTCGGATGTTGTGGTCACCATGTGCTGTAGGATGTTGTGGTGGCCCTGTGCTGTAGGATGTTGTGGTGGCCTTGTGGTGTAGGATGTTGTGGTGGCCCTGTGCTGTAGGGTATTGTGGTGGTCATGTTGTGTAGGATGTTGTGGTGGCCCTGTGCTGTAGGATGTTGTGGTGGCACTGTGGTGTAGGATGTTGTGGTGGCCATGTTGTGTAGGATGTTGTGGTGGCCCTGTGCTGTAGGATGTTGTGGTGGCACTGTTGTGTAGATTGTTGCGATCGCCTCTCAGTGTAGGATGTGCACCGTTTTCCGAAAATGTTAATCAATTTAACAGTTCAAGACAAAGACAGTTACGGAAAGACAATATCTCAGTTTCACACTTGCGTCTTTCTACAATGTCAAGATTCAGGCTTGAAATGAATGCCGAATCGTGGAGCGTTATCCCACTTTAAGCTGACACGTCATGGTACAACTGAAACACTCCCGTCAAAAATGTCACCCACTAACAGAATGACTCCATACCACCATACCTGGTCTAAGGATATTGTTATGCTTGTGCAGTCGTGCTTACATGACGCGCCTTATCATTGAATTGAACACCCTTGGACGGATAAACCGAGATCGTATGTAAACCAATATATACAAAAGGTATCAACATGTACATACATTATACATGATTACCATAGTGAAAGCGAGTCGGAGAGAAGCCCTATGAGACTACCTTGTAAATCGGGCATTTGTATGTCATATAAATTAACTAACATATTTTGTATGTTTGTTTGTTGCTATGCGACGGCGTCCTATATAAATAATCGACTCTGGGCCAGGCGATCCAGTGTGTGTGTGTGTGTGTGTGTGTGTGTGTGTTTGTGTGTGTGTGTGTGTGTGGTTGCTCATTTTCCCGAGGCAAGAGAGTTAACTGACTTTAAAAGTCCAGTTTCCACTATTGCCGAACTAGGCTGGAATTACTGGGCTCGATCGTTGCGCCACCAGTGGCTATAACGATTAATGTCCATTCTAAGCCTCTCCTATGGACCTAATCAGATTCCACCTCTCGTATCACTTGCATTAGCTTCAAACAAAATAGAGGCGCCCAGTCAAGACGATCTGATCGATAATCAAGATCTATATTGTGATAAAACGAGTCTTACATCGCGAAGTGCATCAAATCATGTGACCCCCTTGATTAAAAACATGAAAAGATTTAGAAAATACCTGTTGACAACGAGTTGGCGGTGCACATGCTTTGCAAATCCTGCAATCGACCGAAAACTGAATGACACTTTACGAACCGGATTTCGATTTCGTTGCGCGATTTTGTTTGGACTATGCATAGACTCGTTAGTCCAGCCAAAATGTAACTCCATAATACCAGCCTCGTTCGGCAAGGGTGGAAACTGGACTTTTATAGTCAGTTAACTCTCTTGCCTCGGGAAGATGGTGGTTGCTTGTACAAGTCCGGATTAATGCCGAATTTTTAGAGCTATCCTTTTAAGATACAGTATACTGACCCAGAGCCCCTTTATGCAGGGCGTCAGGCAGGGTAACAACAAGTACCACCATTTAACGTCTTTTAGTATGACGCTGCCGGGGATCGAACCCCAACCTCCCACTCTCCGGGCGGACACTCGACCACTAGACCACTGATGCAGTCCACGGGGTAGGTAATAAACAGCCTTGCTTGATAGAACCTACATCGAAACGTCGCTCCTCATTTTAATAAAGAAGTTGTTCATCCATATATCTTATCCTTAGTACTCCAACTTCTAAATGCCTCAAAGAAGTTATCGAAATTGAGAAGTTTTTTAAAATGAAAAAAAACAAACACACACACTCGGTAACCAATTGATTTGGATCAGTGGTCAGTCACCAGTCAGGTCCCGGCGGTGCAGATGCCGACAGGGACTGTCCCACGAGTTTGGACACTGGAAACGGAGGCGTGCCTCGGAGAAAGACCCGCCATTGTCACCATATGTTCCATGCTACTGCTGACGTTAAGCTAGCGTTCTCATTACAACCCTAAACTCCCACTACTACAGTTGTAGGTAAACTGCTTACAATAGCATATATATATATACACACACACACGTGTGCCAGCCACATGTTTCTCTGTGAGCATATGGAGACGCCGGCACGACTTTTATCTGCGTCTCATTGTTCCAGCGTCGCCCTTGCAGCGTGGGCCTGCATCAGGTGTCGGCCACATGGCATGGGTTCGTGGACACACAGATAAGCCTCGAGTTGACACCATCTATACTACTTTGCAGATCAATGAAAAAAAGCCATCAAAATCTACTTTGTATGTCATGAGTTTCAGGCGATAACAGTCACCAAATAAGAAAAAAATGTCAAAACGACAGATATGTTGGATAGATTTTCGGTTAAAGAATAAAGAAATCATTCGACAGTTTTTAACACATTAATCCCATTGACAAAACTATATGCCGGCTATGGGAGTGGGAAGATTTGAGGGAAGTGTCCACATCTATCAAATCATCAAATCATCCACATGTCTACAGCGGCCTCTTGACTACCTGTCATATACAAAAAGGTGAGGTGAAATGAGATTTAACGTCGCGGTCGACCCGTGAAGATCCGGGGTAGAATAGGTCTTCAGCAACCCATGCTTGTCATTAGAGGCGACTATGCTTGTCGTAAGAGGCGACTAACAGGATCGGGTGGTCAGGATCGCGGACTTGGTTCATGCATGTCATCGTAACCTAATTGCATAGATCGATCCTCATGATATCAGTCACTCGATTGTCTGGTCCTGACTCGATTATTTACAGACCGCCGCCATATAGCTGAAATATTGATGAGTACATGGACGTGCATGGGCGTGTGTGTGGCTGATTGTACTCGTCAAGAAGTCCGGTTTAATAGTCCCAGCCCACTGAGATGCCATGCTGGAGTTTAACATGGATACCACACTCGGACAAAGTACTCCCAGCCCACCAGTCCTTGTTCCATATCCTTTATGCCGAGTAACAGGCAGGGTAACAACAAGTATAATGTTGTACCGTTTTTTATGACATGGCCGGGGGATCGAACCCCCAGCCTTCAGGTCTCCAGGCAGACGCTCTATCCACTAGACCTCGGAGAGGGACATAAACGAAGAAAAATCAATAGCTTATAATTCCAAACATATAATTCTGGTAAGTCTTTCAGCTCTATGATTGTTGAGTAGTTTGCTAAAACTTATGTACTTTTATCAGAAAACCAAAGTCTTTGACGAGCATAATACACATTTCTCCTTCCTTATATATATGATTTTTAAAATGAGTAAATACACAAGGGTAAAAAAATTCACTTTATTTTAGAATGTTATTCTTAAATAATTGATGTTTGATGATTTCTTTCAATGAAGAATGTTTATCAATTGTGTAAGAATACACTCCTTGAGTGAACCGTCCCATGACTCATGTAGTGACAAATGATTTGCAGCCATGTTCTCCAACAGAATCCCCCACACCCATGGAACTCCTAATGAACGGCCATTCGCTGTACAGAGTTGCGTCCCTTGGGCAGAAACCTATGATTGTGGATTCGAATCTCGGTTCGCCCCGATTATGTTTCTAGGTTTGTCAGCACCATACCCGTACTCGTGGGTTTCATCGAAGTGGTAAACGTCTGAGACCTGCATCACTTCGGGCTTTCCTCCCACATTAAGCTGACACGCCGTGATATAACTGGAATACTGTTAAATGCGGCGTTAAATCCAACTCACTCACTCACTTACTGAACGTATAAGGAACGTTTGTCAATAGTTTATTGATATTCTCATCGATGTGTGTGTGTGTGTGTGGGGGGGGGGGGGGGGGGGGGGGGCTTACCCAGTTCCTGAAATGTGAACACATCTGCATTTTCATTGGATCATTGGATCATTTCTAAGGGATTGGTTTATCGCATTTAAAATACTATCCATTAACTGATTAAGACAAAATATATCAGTTATATCCCGTATCCAAACAATTCAGGAAACTGTCACACAATCAGTCCACGACCAGGTACCCACAAGCTTCCTCAACTGACACGCGATGTCGCCAGTCCCAAACCAAACATGTAAGACACGAAGTGAGTTTCCTGAGTCTCAAAACATCCAGGTTTAACGTCATCAAGGCATTATATCATACAGAGTGTCAGTACTCTTGTGGCTTGAGGCTGTTGTGAAGCCAACATTATGAATACTCTCAGTTATGAGGATGGGCTTTTACATCCAGATAGGATAATGGCATCCTACAAACTCAATTGTGTGTGCATTTTCTTGCGCAAACAAATTAATCAAGACTGGCAATGTGAATCCCCTCCAGAGGCCATGTTGTATAGAGTCAGTTCCGTTTCATGTCCAGTCCCAGTTTTACCAGTACAGAAAGGCACAGGTGCATAACTCCTAAACAGAACCTTCGTAGAAATAAACATGTATTTCCTTTCTGTTTTATTTATTTTAATTGAAACAAGCCTTCCGACTGATAGTCACATGACTGCTAGTTAAAGGGAATAGAGTTGGCAACAATCATGTCCAGACCTGAAGCTACGTTGCACATGTACTTCTCTTATTTATTCATGTTACCCCAATGAGGAGGAAACTATATTTTCTTGGACCTGAATATTAGTTTTGCTTGCCACACGCACACATTCCACCACAACAAAACTGAGGGTGCAGTTGAACCCGTTCGTCATCAGTTGGGATTGGAAGCAGATAAACTCTGGGTTATTGTGCCACAATTCTACATACAATTCATAAGAAACAGGAAAGACAATTAATGACATGTTCAAGTACTTCCTTATTTACAAAGCAAGAACTGATTCGATCTTATGTCTGTCACGCAGCCTAAGTCAATTGTATTTCCTTTTTCAATTTCGAACTAAACGACGACAAATAAGAATTCGCCTCACTTTGCTCTTCATCGATTCTCGGTGTTGACACCAGCACAATGACAGCTCTCGGGCACTCTACGGGCCGCTGTGCGACTACAACGAAACACAGTCAGAGTTAGATAAAACATAAAAAATATAATTATTTGT